AGAAACGTACCGTCTCTGCTCCTCCATCAAATGCCAATGCTCGAACATGGCATTTTCCCGGACCTACTGGGCGATCCCGCAGACTCAGAAGTCACGTTCCTCGTCGAAGACCAAGAGATACCCGGTCACGCGACTGTCTTGCGAAATGCCCGAGCTGGGAGATACTTTGCCGGACTTTTGGCCCATCCATTTAAAGAAAAAATCGACGGCAAGGTTCACATTGATGGGGTGACCCACAAAATATTCAAAGCCATCCTGGAGTACGTTTATACCGGGCGCACATCAGTGGGCAGTGTGCTGGAACTGTGGGAGTTGTACTGGTAAGGTTTGAGCAGAGCAAGCGTGCGCCTGTAGATCAAGCTTTAAAATGTTCCCTTCTTTTCGTCACAGCGCGGCAGACCGGTTTCAAGTAACGACTCTACTGCCATACATCAAAAGCGAACTCTTCCTGTGCCTCACATCAGACATCCCATCAGAAGTCCCATCAGACGCCCGAACGCCAGAAACCATTCTCACCCTCATCCCCCAAATGAAAGCCTACCCAGGCCTCTCCGACCTCCGCCGACTTTCCGGCAAGTGCTTGGTAAAGAATTGGGACAAGGTTAAGGCGTCTGAAACTTGGCGCGAGTTGATTGAAGGAACGGATATCCCGGATTTATTCGAGGTGGTTTTGGATGCGGCGTCGGAGATATTAAGCAGGGGCAAGATTAGATTGCCAAACGCGTCGTGAGAGGTTTCGCCGGCAAATGAAAGTGTGGGACGGCTGTGGAGTGGGATTCAACATTGCATACCCTTTGTGAACTTTTGTAAAAAGTAACTAAAAAATATAGTCGACAAGTTCGGTTGATACCTAAGACATGCGTCAACTTTTCATTACGGTACTGTTGAGAGCGTTTCAGGGGGAGGTCAAGGCCATTATTTGCCACGGGATGGTATCACACGGCCTCAAACTGGACGCTGCGGCGAGATTTATAATGCTGATGACGAAGTTTACGTCTTATATTTCTCGCTCCGCTCTGGTAAATTGTATCTATTCACTCCGTACATCTACAATTACAAAAAAGGAAGCGGGGCTCGAGTGAAATATGATATCTCCGGAATGTTCTTTTTGTGGTTCTGGTTCTACGCTGATGTTTTGCGTCTGCGCTTGGATACCCACTCCTGGCCTCTAGAACCTTGCGTTGCTTGACAGTTCATTTGATACAATGCCCACAATGTACAGCATAAATGTTATCAATTTTTGACATTCAAACGTAGTGGTATAGTACCTTTTGTGAATGCCCTTTGAGATAACAGGATTTTGGGGGTCTGGTCCGCGTATCCAAACTGTGACTCGCGGATTTCCATTCACCCCGCACAAACCTTGTTCAATTCCCGCAGGCCAAATGAACCCGAAGCTCTGCGAAGCTAGACCGCGGTGTTTGGCGAGTGGGAGACGGGGGTTGAGCTTGCGTGATCGCGTCTGTTTGTGGAAGTCTTCGAGTTTGGAGCTAGCGGTGAACAACGAAACGTGGGTGAAAATTAGGATGGATGCGGGAAGTGGGAGACGCAGAGTTGAGTGAGATGGATGGGGTAAACGGGAGGGAAGTGGGAGACGAGGGGTGAATGGGATGCGTTGGGGAAGTGGGAAACAGCCTCAGTCATTGGACTATTTCGCCGACGACGTATCTGCGCACCCCACACCCAACTCCACGTTCAGCTTTAACTGTTGTGCGGACCTTCCTACCGCTGAATTCAGTGGACTTCAGTTGCTGCGTTCACAGAGCCACATCGCAGCGCATTCACGTTGCACTCCCTTCTACCGCCATAAACTCGACTCCATTCGCATCGGTCAGTAAGGTTCACAATGGGGGACGACAAGACCTCGTCAGATCCAGCACCCAACAACCAGCATCAGCAGCATTCCAACATCCTCCGCACAGCCAGTTTCGGGAGCATGCCAGCCATCGCCGGCGCCGGAAACACCGCCAAAGCCCGCTCCCTCGACAACATCCGCATCGACCCAGGATGGCCCGAGGACGCAACCACCAGCCAGGCGGCTTCAGAGACGAATACCGCTACACCAATGGCATTGAGCGAGAAACGCACCCGGTGGCGGAGTTCGGTCGACATGCATTCCGTCGACACCACCAACACAACCGGGACGAACAATTTGGGTGACGGTGAGGATGGGGGCTACCTGAGCAGCGTGGGGAACAGTCTCGCCATGATCGCCGAGGAAGCGGAACAACCCCACCTCGCCCAGGTGTTTGCGGCCGCCGCCTCGGTGCAGACGGATGGGATGGGGGACGGCGAGCGGGGACATCACCACAACTTCCCGCAGGCGGCGCGGAGGGTGTTTATCGCCGAGACGGGGTTCTTTTTCGGGACGTATGCGGCAGAACGGAGGATGTCTACCGTCGGGTCGGAGGATATGCCCATGCGACGGACGTCGTCGAATGTCCCGCCCATGCGACGGACGTCGTCGAATGTCCCGCCCATGCGACGGACGTCGTCGAATATCCCGTCCACCGCCGCGGATAAGGACAAGGAACACGACCTCGCAGCGGGTGTCCCTGAAGAAAAACTCCAGGCGTTCAACTCGATCCTCATCACCCCGCGACCCAGTAACGGCGGACTCTTCTCGTCGGTGAAATGGCGGGTGGACAAGTTCATGCATGAGGTGGTGTACCAAGACGTGTACCCGCAGCACCTCACCACCCCCGCCGGCATCTTCAACCACTACCTCTCCATCCGCATGCCGCCAAAGTACCTGGTGGGTAAATACCACGCGTTCGCATTGTCGGTTGCCGCTGTCATATCAGGAGAGTTTTCAGGGTGGAACGTTGGGCTTGGGGATGCTGGGTATGCGGGGTACTGGATCAGTAATATCATGGCGGCGATGATGTATTTGGGGTTGGCGTTGTGTTTGGCGGAGATGTCGACCGCGATTCCGGTTGTGGGTGGGGCCTTTGCGTATTCTCGTGCGGTTGTGGGAGACTCTATGGGGTTCTTGGGTATGTAGATGGGCTGCATGGACGTTTTCTTTTGCATCCTTAACTGGGACAGTGAGTTTGGAAAGCACAGGTCAAAGCTCACTTTCAAAATGTTCAAACCTCCCTAATCCCATAGTGGCGAATTCGGAGAATCTCGAGTACTGCATGTTCGTATCCCTCATTCTCATCACCTGGGCGGACGTGATCAACGGTCTCGCAGACGGTGCCATCCCTCACAACTGGTACCCGCTCTTATGGGCCGTCATCCTCGGTATATTCATGTACACGGTCAACTACCACAACAAATTCACTTGGTGGGCCATGGGAGTCTTGACGGCAGTCTGCTTCCTGCAAATCATCGGGCTGTCCATCATCGGAATGACGCAGTTTTCTACAACGCATTTGTCGGAGGGGTGGGCGGAAGAGGCCCAACATAAAATTGACAGTAAAGGAGGGGATTACTACTGGTTTGGCGGGTTTGGGGGGATTTTGAACGCTCTGCATTCGAGTGCGTGGTGGTTCACGGGGCTGGAATGCGCGTCTCTCGCGACCAAAGAAGTGAAAAGTGTGCGGAAAGCGGTGCCGCTTGCCCTGATCGCATCGTGGGCATGTCTCGGCCTTTCAGGTGTCCTGTTCACGCTGTTTGCCGTGTTGGTGCCCCCCGGCGCCGGTGCGAACGCTCAGGCTTCCTACCCGGCCGTATCTCTCCTCCAAGCGATGTGGGGCGATGCGGGGGCGAAGGTGGGATACGTGATGCAGATTCCGTCGTTGACGGCCAATTTGCTCGCCATGCTATGGTGTGCCTCGCGTCAAACATGGGCCCTGTCGCGGGCGGGGTACCTTCCATCATACCTCTCCATCACGTCCACGGCCAACGGCGTCCCCCACCGCTCAGTCTATTTTGTCGGGTTCTACAGCTACGTGATGGTCCTGTTTGTACAAAACTTGGAAGTCCTCCACGGAGACTTACCAGCGACGCAAGTCTTGCTTGGTCTCACCGTCATCGCGGGTGTCGTGACATACTTTGGCATCGCGGTGGTGTACATTGCGTTCTGGTTCCTGTACCCCCAGGCCCCGCGACCGTTCCGTAACCCGTTGGGACTCTTTTCACCCATCGCGGTGATGGTCGTCAGCGTTTGTGTCATCATCGCCAAAGTGGGCATCAGCACGGTGTTTCAGTTGACGGTGGCTGGGTACGTTGTCAAGATGGGCATTTCTGGGGCTTACTATGTGATACATGGACGATTGCATTTGAAACCTACCGAGGACGCTTTGCTTGCGCCGTTCTGGAAAATGCGGGAAGCGAGGATTTCGGCAGGGAAGAAAAAAAAGGCGACGTCTCCTGCTTGAGATCATTGATTTGGATATAGGGATATGTTTTGGGATATCTTGTGTTTTTTTTTTTACGACGAAGGTTTAACTGTAACAATACATAAAATTGTCTTATATGCTGGGCGCTGTTCCAGCAAAAATAAAAGAAAAAGTGACATGGACATTCTCAAACGTGGTATCGCTTTCGTGGTCGTGGTGGTCACCTGAGTTTGCTGTTTTGCAGCGTTCACCATCGGAGCACAGTACGTTTCACATCAAAGAGACAATCTCATGGATCCAATCCGGACAAAGAATTACATTACCGCCTTACAGGTCGGAAAAGAGATGTTGGAAAGAGAAAACGAACAGAAATTGGAATTCATCGTGATTGCTTCTTACGAATTGAGAACGCCCTTACATGCAATCGCTTGATTCACCGATATCCTATCTCAAAGCCAAGTGGATAAAGAACAATCCCGACACTGCAACTGGCCCGTCAGTCCGTCAAGATCCGCGAATTCCTGAGTTTCAACCAAGGGAGCCGTGATCCGCGTTTACTTTTAATAAACGCATGGCCGACAAATACCCCCACGTTCCCAAAACAAGGTAAAGACATTGCAAACGATAACACGAGCTCTTGTGGGCGCAATTGGCCAGCGCGTTCGACCTCCAAGTTCCCATACCAAGTTATAAGGTTCGTAACCTGCAACGAGAGCTCTTGTGGCGCAATTGGCTAGCGCGTTCGGCTGTTAAGGGAGTTGTTATTTGACACTTCAAAGCAACCGGAAGGTTGGTGGTTCAAGCCCACCCAGGAGCGATTACACTCCTTGACGAGTGAGAATGGGAGCATCATTTTGATGGGGGCTGTGAACGCTGGCGCAGGGCGTTTTCTTTTTGTAGTACACCGCGCGCGCAGTCAGTAATGGAGCCGTTACAGCAGATCCGAAGGCATGGCAGCCTGGGTGTGGATGGATACCCACGGCCTGGGTCAAATTGCCTTTTTCCCGTCTGATCGGGCCAGAATCCCATGACTCCAATATTCTTGTCATTTTGAACCCAAAATCCCCTCTGACCAAGTACAAAGCCGAGCACCAACCAAATTGAGGGAATGCGTGTGCGACCCCTATCAGGGCGGATTTGACGTATCGGATACGGACGTGTCGAAAATGATGGTCATGCCTGGCCCGCCGGAACAAGCAACAATAGAGCAAGGCCCATATACACCTTTTTCTGTCCATGAGCCTGTTTGATTTTTCACGGAAGTGTATGATTGTGTTTATGACCACAAATGCCCTCCTCCCGAACCAGTTGAACTCTGGCTTGCAAACTCAAAAATGAAACAATTCAGCGCGAGCTCAAAAGTCAATGAAGCAGATTTCTGCTCACTGGACAACCACTATGCACTGTCAGCAATCGTTTGAGTAACATAAAAAAGTGAGAGAGTAGAAATGGGTAACTTTTCGATGGGAATAAGAAAGTGGAACGGAGAAAGAAACTACTCGCGAAGCTCATTTGCGCTCCAAGCACTTCAAGCTCAAGTCCCGAAAATTCGGACCTGGCCAGCCACGCCCGCAACCCCCTTTTGCAGTGCCCACCTTCGCCCAGATGCCGACAGACATCAACTTTCCCCCCCAGACTATTCTACCGTACCTAGTTAGATGGCCACGACATCGCGTCCTCCCTTTGCCGTTGTGATTGGCGCAGGTCCAATAGGCCTGGCGTCCGCCCTTGTATTGCGCCTCCAAGGTTTCAACGTCCACCTCCTCGAAGCGCGCTCCTATTCTTCCAGCCTAGACCCGTGTCAAACCTTTGACCACATATTCACCCGTCTCAACTTTCTCCAACTGAACCATTTTTCTTGTTCCGCTTTGAAATCTTGGGGTGTCCAACCTCAACTTCAGTTGTACACTGATATATCCATGGAGGATGATTATCTCGGCAACCACCTCGTGCTCAAAGTGAAGCACGACGGGACGCCAGATGAAACGGACAAAGCCTCCCCTCAGGCCGTATGCGAGCAGAATTGCACCCTTGGATCTTGTGGTAATACTGCGCTAAAATTGGGCCTGTGAGATTACTATCCAAATCATTCATCAATCAGGAGTTCCCATCCGCTAGCTCCAATCCTGCCTCCTCAAGCGCGTACTTGAGCTTGGGGTTACCGTGACATTCGATGCTCGTGACATCACCGTTCATCAGAATCCCACTTCCCTCAACTATGATTCCATCTCTGCTCCTTCTGACATACAACTTGACTCCATCGATCTAATCATCCTTGCGGAAGGAGCTTGCCGCCAAATCGTGACATCCCAACTCAACCTAACTCCCATCCCCGTCTCCGAAATGCACACATTCTCAATTTCATTCCTCAACGAATCTATCGGTCCACAGATTCTCTTTCTTCGCACCCATGATAATGATACCGGCCACTGGTGCAAGACGGCCATCGTGGGCAATGAGATAACTGAAGAGGGACCCATCTTGTTCACCCAAATCACATCATCGCAATCAACCCAACCTCTCGCCGCGATCGCATCCCAGAGGATCAAGGACATCGAGGCCGCGTATAAAAACGAAAACCTGCCGGAAAAACTCACCCTCAACACCACCATACCCCCCAAAACGTTCACCGTGCAAGAAACCAAGTTGCCGAAAACCAACGTCAACAATATCTTCATCGTCGGCGACGCTGCTCGCACGGGTCACTTTCAAAGTGCGCTCGGTGCGTCCCTTGGCTTGGTCTTTGACGTTGCGGCTGTGCGAAAAGTCGGGGAATCCTTCATTCGCAACGGTGGGGTACTGGACGATGAGGTGATCCGGTCGTTTGAGCGGAAGATGGCGGAAACTACAAACGTTTGGCATGATTGGGATTTAAAGCATTTTTATGAAGATCACGTTTAGATTTCATCATACAGTGTGCATCATAACCAAGCTTATATCTTTACTTTGTGTGTTTCGGTGAATAGATGACGCAGACGTGCTCAATCCATTTGCATGTAACTTGTACGATTTTATCTTCCTGCTCGTAGCAGTGCAGGGTCCAACAGATCCGGTCGATTTGTTGCTCCGATGACAAATAGATCCGATCCCACCCCGCCCATTCCGTCTATTCCGGCCAACAGCTGGCTGACAATGCGATCCATAACGCCTCCAGAATATCCTTTCTTCCCTCGTTTGGGTGCACCACTATCTAATTCATCAAAGAATACAACGCATGGTCTGCCATCTCGTTCCCGTTGGAAGACTGTGCGCCCGTTGGCTTCAGATTCACCAATGTACATGTACAAGAGTTCGGGATCCTTGGCGGATAGGAAATTTACGGAGAACGTTGTTGCGACAGCTTTGGCGACGAGGCCATACACAACAAGAGCTGGCTATCAAAAATCATTTTGTGGTATGTTGCCCTGATCCACAGAAAAATTGTAATAAACGGTGCGTCGCTGAAGAAAAGTCGCAAAGGTAAAGGTCGGTCGCGGTGCTGAAAGTGAGGAAGGAATGTTGCAAACATCGAAGGCGCACTTGCCGAAACGCAATCAAAAAACTTCGCAAACGGTGCATATGTCGCGGATAAAATCTTTCATTGGTTTCCACCCGCTCTTGACTCATGCATGGGACACCGCTGTGCCGTTTACAGTTTTTACGCGCCGTGGCATCAACCAGTTCCACCTTGCCGCTTTAAAATACGTTTCAACGAGGGAGTCACCATCAACGGACTGAATTCTTGTTTGACTGTCTGTCACACCATGAATTGGTGTGCTTTTTTTGCCACCGCTCTTTCCCTATAGGTAAAACCACACATACGGAGCACGCAAAAATGGAGAATGCAAACGGGTATGACTGTCTTAGTGTGATGCCTGAATGCGTTCACAAAGAATGGCGAATCAGGCAAAAATGGCGAATCGGGCAAATAATCTTTTGGGATGCATTGGGAGTGTGATTTCCCAATGTGAATTCCGCGCGAGCTGACGCTTGGCCGGCCCGGACAACACTCTCAGCGTTTGAAGGGATGGATGCTAGCAAATGACCACACTCGAAAGTGGTTGCAGATTGTCCGCAAAATAATCCATTCTTTTTTTTGTCGGTCGAACCAAGTCGAACAGACCAGTATTTCACGGACCTGGCGCAGTCAGTGCGGTATCCGACAACACCACCTCTTTTCACGATTGATATTAAATGGGGCGGCAGTGCAACACCAGGAAAAAAAAGGGTTTGTCCACAAGACAGAGAGCCGAATGTGTAGCGGCATCCTCACGTGCGTTGTGCAGGAGATTCCATACTTTAAAACTTCTACGTTCCTTCCGTTTGTTGTGCCTCGACGGCCGATGAGGGTTTACATGGGTAGTACCGCAACCACCTGATCTTGTGAATTCTCTTTTCTAGCGTCCAAAAAAGAAGCTGCTGAATTTTCCCGTGAGGAAATTGATATGGAGGATGAACAGCGAACACGGTGTAAAGTCATGGCGGTGGTCGCGAATTGTTCGTGAACCTGAGTGTTTTGTTGTCGCGTGGCTTCACTTTCGCCAACGGGTTGGTCCGTAACCACATATTTGGTGCCGCCCGAAACGGTGGTAAGTTATGTCGGTCGTTTGTGAACCTGCGCTACCCCCGCGCAAAAAAAAGAAATTGATCAGAGCTTTGTTATCCGCGCTGTCCATCCTCTGTTGAGTCTAGATCACTGGACAGACAAAACAACCCAATCGCGTCCTTTTCCCTTTAATTTGGTCGAACGCTTTTTTGGCATCTCTCCGTTGACCGGACCGAATGCGTTTGATAAACACTCGGAAACAAAAAAAATCCAATATACAAGCCAAGATATGGATCCCACCACGTCCTGAGACGAAATGGTATCCTTCCACTACTCGGGATACTTTGGTGCAGTCGTTCCACCAGAAACAATATTTGGTACATGACATCCTCTTTCGTTTTTTTTAACCCCACATACAGTTTCGGTCCAACGCATTTATTCAACCTTTTTACGCCCGACGGCCCAAAAAATATCATGTTGTCCTCTCTCAATCATATGGCGGATGAGTAAGTTGGATTGTATCCATAACCCGCCAGCAGTGGACCGATGTGTATCCTCCGCCATTTGGGAATACGTGGGTGTGATGCAGTCCCCGGAGATGAGAGTTGGTCTACTCTTTTTTTTTGGGAACCCACATCCATTTCGGTCGAACGGGCCCATAATCCAACATACTGGGGCTCGAAAAAAAGATTGTAGAACACATAGGAATACGGGATGGTCATCATGAACGCTTCCGGTCGCAGGCCACACGACATGCGTGTCGGTGAAGTCACCACAGAACACCATCGGGCCTACATGTACTAAGCAGACGGGTAGATAGACTTGATCCGTATCCGAAACCCTTTGGCATTCCTTTGTTTGCGTTCAAAGGTTGTTTGACGATTTGTGAAGATCTGTGAGGATACATGCGATAGCGTTAAACTCGAGGTCTGCTACCTGCTTCACGTGCAGTACAAAGGATCTCCCCGGACAAAAAAAGACCCACCCATAAAGGCGCAAGAAATGATATCCACTGACCAAAACCATATTTCGATGCCGCGACATCACACGCGGGTTATTGTAGTTTGTGGCCACTAAAATGACACTTCCACTTGATCATCCTCCGCACCCCGTTCGCGCAGTCTGGCGTATCCGACTGGTAAAGAAGGAAAAAAGGTCTCACGCAAATATACCGGCCAGATTGGAAGACAGGCTTGGATTGAATGACTTGTCTCCACACTCGCGGTCCACCTTCCCCGGTCTTTGTTGCCGGCCGAAAAGGAAGGAGCGCAAAAAATGGGTAAAGACAATAT